ATGCGTTTTTTCCGGAGAAGCCGCTTAGCACAAAATGACAAAGGCATGAGACATTGTTATTCATCACGCAGGTCTCCAGCACCCTGAACATCATCTATAGAACAGGTCTTCCTATGAACTCTGAGGGCCCGACAGAGGCTCAACTTAGCTGCGCCTTGTGGCCTATCGGCGCAAAGGAAGACAGGAACCGGACTCTCAGATGATGGCCCCAGAGGTCTACACGGCACATTTGCAAATGCGCACAGTGGAGGGGCCGTGGCTGTGACAGCTCACTGCGCAGTTTTTCGACTGGGAAGTCCAGAATTCGCTTGAAGCGCTTGAAAGCCCCTTCGCTTCAATCCGGTAATGCAAATGCTCGTGCTGGGTGATGCGGATGAAGATGGCGACTGCGATGACGACGATGATACATGACTAAAAGGGTGCTGCCGACGTCGGTGATTTTGGTGCCGATGATACAAACACTGACAATATTGAAAGCAGACCCTGCCAATAGCAGCAATGACAAAGTTGATTAACCAGGTTCCGGCAGATCCTGACATGTCTTGCTGGCAGAGTTTGGCCTGGCTTTGCAAAAATGGTGAGCCGGTTCTTGAAAGGGCACATTGTTCGGTACGCCCCCATAAAAGGCCACGAGGAAATACACTGTTGACGAACGGACCGTGGAGACATCCTTTTTGTGCGGGGACGTCGGCTTCAACCCGTTTACAGGTTCTTGAAGTTGTAACAGCAGTAAAGGCGAAAACAGACGCAGGCTCAGCTGATGCTTAGGAGACTTACATATACGTCTTATCTTGTAAACCCATCAACGAGCCTCCAAGGATATGTTCCGGAAGATCCTCCCGAAGCGCAAGAGGATTTTCGCTCGAGGCTTAAGGCTCCGCCTTTGGCTGAGGCTTTGGTCCTTCAGATTCAGGGGGTTTCGGGTTATTGCAGCACGGTCTTCTCTCAGTTCGACTGCGCTGTCTTTAATATTTAGTGGGAGCAGCAAGAGCAAACATCATCCGCATCATCTCGTTCGTGACATGTCATTCAAGCATCCCAAGAATTCCTGTTGTCGCAGAGATCGCGCAATAGCCTCGATCGGCTAAGCAGTTCTGGAGGGCACGTTGTCAGTGGGTGGGGTGCAATTGAAGCGATTGTCTCCGAGCAGTTCCGCAGACTGCGACATACCTCCCAAGATCCAGAGCTCCATGCTGCTTCCAAACATTCCCCTTGCGGCTGATGCACTTGTGCATCGTCGGCACCGATTTGTTCGTCGCAGGCTTCCGACGCACTTCTCCGGTGTCCTCATGGACACAGGATGGAGCAGTGCCTTGGCTGGCGTTTGTAGTGAAGCTCTTAGGCCGTGTTCCTGATGATTGGAGTTGATGGCGTTTTGAGAGATGCTGCTCATATTTACTTCAGTCACTTGTGCTTGAAGCTGGCCTCACAAAATTGTTATGCGACTTGTGATTTTGAGGGATATTTCCACTAGCCTGAACTCCTGTATTGGAATCCCCTTCCAGTCAAGACCAGATGCGCAAAAGTAGCGTAGGGAACCTCACCCGGTCAGCAGCGTTACATCGCGCTCCTCCAGGGATCATGCCGAACTATGACTGGGTTTCATGTGCCAGTGTGCTTTGTCCACCTGAGCCCATGCCGCTGCCTGCCGAGGATAGTGACACACAAAGCCGGCTGGTTGAGGTGGAATGGGAATGCGGATGTGGAGACTCAGAAGCCTAGCCATAGATGCGGGCAGCCTTTGCGCAGAGAACATGAAAGCCTCATAACATGAATGGTCTGACTAATGACATGTTTGTAGCCAGTAGTCAAGTAGTTCCGGACACTCTTAATCAAGAGTAACCTGAAAGACAATGTCCGATGCACACAACCCTGAGTCAAAATCCGAAAGCTAATCGCTAAAGATGGCCACATCCCCACTGCCGCAAAAGCTTCCGCACACCCAAACACCTGTCCACGCGTCTCTCACACCGATCCACGAATATTTGGCATCTGTAGATGGGTCGCTATGCACGTATGTAGGCAGGTAGGTAGGTAGGCTGGCTTGTAGGTAGGTAGCTACTGTAGGTAGGTCGGGGTAGGTAGGTAAGCAGGAAAGTGGGCAGGTGTATGTATGTATGCATGCTACAAGGATACGTAAGCATAGATGTAGTAGGTAGTTGTAGAAGTACTGCCCCAAACAGTGTGGTAACGCTTTGGGGTTCTTGAGGTCAGGGTAGCGGGAATTGATTGCGGATCGAGCGCGGCTCACGGAAAAATGGCTCCCGCGTCCTATTATTTACACAGGATGCTCGCGGCGCACTTCTTCCGCTGCGGTGCATACTTGTCGCCGTGGTCCGATTATTTACTTACAGACGACTGTTCGTGTTGCGCACGCCCGATGCCAGGAAACACGATATGCACCAGTGTTGCATCTTGAAAACTTGGAATCGCAGCAGTAAGGGGGAAATGCTTCCTACTAAGGGCAGGAAGCATGGCTGAACGCGTTCCCCAAAGGGAAAAGCAGTTTCATTTTGGCCGTGTCCTCGCGTCGGTCTCCTCGTCGTCTCCTGGTCCTCGGTTGCGATATTTTGCGGTCGTCCTGGTCGCAGTGCTCGCCGTGGCAACATGGCGTAGATGCTGGAAAAGCAGATAGCAAGTAGTCGCGGTCTGTATTTTACCAAACAATTCAGGCACCTTGCATGCGTCCTAGTGTACATTCATATTTTCATACCTCCATACATAAATACATACATGCATACATACATGCACAAGCACATTTACCCTTGCACTTGCACTTAGTACATCTACATCTACGTCTCACATGCGTTGTGTTACATTGCACCGACGCAGCCGTCTGCTCCTCTAAAGATATGCTCAAGTCGTCCATGTATGCAGGTGCGACATCTGTGGGCAACCACAGGGCCTCGGACGCAGGACCTGCAGCCAGTGGAGATTTCTAAAGTACTTACAGTGTGGTGCTTAGGCTGAAGTTTAAACTCAGCTTCGGTCCGGAATTTTTACGATTGTTTCATGACTGTGATCTTGCAGGGTCGGATGTTTAGATTTAGCTTGCAGGGTGCCGGGTCTGGACCGAAGCCTTTTCGAAGACGGGCTTTGCCTCTCCCGCCTAGAGCCCGGAAGATGTTGGGTTTCAACAGGTTAGTCCGAAAAGGATCGTGGGATGAGCGATGTTGAAAGTCAATTCTTCATTCCGGTGCTTTCTGATCCGAGCTCAGACCCTGAAGGTTTTGGTCAATGGCCTCAGTAGCATTGCAAGGCTTTCGTGGTGCTTCGTTGTAGTAGGATTCCAGATTGGTTTGCTCAGGGTATACGAGTGGGGGAGAAAGATGTAGAATTGGACGGGGGTAAGATCTCTGTAGATGTCTGCGTCAAGATATGCGCTCTTCGGGAGGTTTTCCTTGGAGACAGCTTCCGAGACAGTGCGAAGCTTTGAAGCCTCAACATAATCTCCTCTCTTCTCGGACTCCTCCAACTTCCGTGGTCTTGGGCCGGCCTTGAACCCCTTGGCTGCAGGATGCATGCATGTTGGGACTGCGACTACCATGTTTGTGGACCCTGCGAAGTCAAGTTCCAGGACCCGTGCTTTTCATGTAGATACGGGCAAGTTGGCGCCTAAAGCAGTGCCAGATGTGAGAGATCAGGATGTAGGACTCCTTGACTTTTCGCCCCGGTGTCCTTAGAATGGAAGGTGGGCCCGAGATGCCATGTGCGACCACAGAAGCGATTACTCGCAGCAGCATGACGATGTCAAGCAGTCATGACTCCAAAACGATATCAGCAAGTGCCATACCTCCACCCTCGCCGTCGGAACGCGACAACCACTCTGCACAGCCGCCCTGCTTACCGACCGTAGTCCCTTGTGGGACTTGGGTGCATGACTGGGCGACATTCCCGAAAGTGCACTGATTCAAGATGGTATCCCACCAAAATCCACCTGATCTGTTCATCGTGAAGCTCTCAGAACTGTGACTCTTCTTTGTCAGGATGCGGATTGGCCACTCGGCAAAGTGCACACTCGAACACTGTTATGAGAATCAACCGTAACTCCTTTACCCTACGTTTCAGTCTGCAGAGCCTGGGTCCGCTGCTCCCAAGGAAATCTCCCTTGGATGCTAACCCGACTTGTGACGAGGAGATAAGGTAAATGTCTGTATGTGCAAGTCTCTGGTTCCGCGGTTCTGGTTCAAGCTGGAGGGGCTGGGCGGTGCTAACTAAACAGAGGAGAAGCCCTTGTTATTCGATCTTGATTCTGTACATCCGATATCCCGTTTCCCCTTTTGTGCTTTTAAGCTGTGATCTAAAGTGGTGTCCTTGTTGCTTGTGTCGAGTCGATCTTTACCTGTCGCGCAGGAGGCCCAAGCCCAAGGCACATGCGTCGATATTCTTCGCAAGTCTGTGTCTATCTCTGTCGCTCGCTCGCTCGCTCACTCGCTCTCGCTCTCGCTCTCGCTCTCGCTCTCGCTCTCGCTCTCGCTCTCGCTCTCGCTCTCTCTCTCTCTCTCTCTCTCTCTCTCTCTCCCTCTCCCTTTCTCTTGCACGGTTGGCAGGTCATGAAAGCCGTTTGTATGCATGCACGAGTGCATGTAAATGTCTGTGTGTGTGTGTGTGTGTCTGTCTGTCTGTCTGTCTGTTTGTATGTCTCTGTCTGTCTGTTTGTATGTCTACCTGACAGTCTGTCTGTCTGTATGTATGTATGCATGTATGTATGTGTGTAATGTGTATATACTGTAAACAATATACAGATATGACATACATGTATCCGTGTGTGAAGACACAATGTAAATATAAGTAAACTGTTTACATGTATATGTACACATACAGAGCTGTGCAGCTGCAAATCTGTACCTGTAGCATATGCTAGAGCTTTCCTTGTTTGGTTTTGCAATTAAAGGCTTGGCTGCATCGTTTTGGCCCATGAACTTGTGCCTTTGAAACGGCGAGTGTCTTCCCAAGCATCAGGTACCCTAAACCCCTAAACCATCAGGTATGGCACCTGGTTTTCCTATTGGCACCCGGAGGGTGACGTTGGCATCTCCGAGGAGGAGGGCTTTTTTCGAGCACTCAAGGAAGTGGAGTCATGGATTTGGGGTTCAGGGATATGAGCCTCTAAGTGGTTTCGGGTCCAAGGCTCGAGCGCTCACCGAAGGGTTGGGGTCCGGCATATTTTGGGTTTTAGCAGGACTAGAGGGTGTTGCAGGGAGTGGTTCCGCAAGCTTTCAGACTTGAGGATCACCAGCTTGCAGCTTGGGTCGATCGGACTGGAAGTTTAGGACTGTGTCGAGTGTGTGTTTTCCACCAGCTCAATCCTCTTTCCCTCGCCGGCCTTCTTTGCAGAGGCAGAGCCTTCCAAGAACAGCGAGGATGCGAGCCTAAAGGCCGCGATCTGTTAATGCTGTGGAGGATGCGGTGGAGACATGTTTTTCCGAGTTGAGATGCTGAAGCCCTATGCAAAGACTGAACAAGCAGCTGATCGTAATGTGTGAGAGAATCTCGACATTCCAATTCGAAATGCAGAGTTTATCTCTCTCTGGCTTCGGCCTATCTCGGTAAACGAGTTGTTGGTAGGGTGAGTCGGGGCTTCGATCTGGCTAGCACGGCTTCCGAATGAAAGAAAAGGCCTGGAAAATTCAGCTTCCTCCTACAAACTTGTGCGCTCGCAGTATTCGTCCATAGGTACAATACCTCGGTCCGTCAAATCCCCAACAGGCCAGTCAAGCAGCAAACAAGTTCAAATCCCATGCACAACCTTTTGCACCTGTGGCCGTTGATGCGTCATGCTTTTTGGCAGGGACGCCCCTCCTGCCCTGCCGGCCACGACATGGTAGAGTATTTCTCAGCGTTGAAGCCGAGACTGATGTGCCTCATTGACAACCAGTGGCATATGTCTGTTAGCAGTAACCTATATGCAGTGCAGGACTTATGCTCGCGCACGCCCTGAGGTCTGTGTGTTTCAGATCTTCGACTCTTGCATGATGGATTCTGGGGATTGACCATGTCATGTTCGAGTTCTAGGGTTCGTGGCGATTGACAAGCAAAAGCTCATTCTTGGTCTTCTCGAGGGTGTCTCGAAGCCATGCGCGATGTCATCACTTGCCCGGGCTATACACCTTCCTGAACTATGTCCGCATGCGACAAATCCGTTAAGCACACCCTAAATCCCACGACACATGTCATCGCTCAGCAACCCTAACAGTCCGAAGCCCCAAGCCCATCCTAAATGCCCCACAGAGCTGGGGCGTAGAAGCGGCAGTAATCAGATCCTCACACGGATCTTCCTCGCTGTAAAGGGTCCGGAAGATCATCGGCTTTCAGGGCTTAGGGAGATGGGAGGACCACTGGGAGTTTAGGGTTTAGGGATTCAAACCCTCCTGGACCCCTGGGAGCTTCTGGCTCCGAGCTCGGAACTGAGGTGCGACATTTGTGGTGAGCAGCAGCGTCCTTTCGTGAGGCCGGCCTGGGGATTCTGAGATGCACGTCGCTTCTGCGCCCCCGAATGCAAGCCGTGCCTTACCAGCCTCAGCCCTGACGGCGGAAGTCACAAACCTTGAAGCCTTGTAAACTGATGGCTGTAGAATTGTCGAACGAAGAACGGCTTGCGACGGAACGGTTTCATCAAGTTTCATCTCTCTTCGTTCAGGGCTTGAGGCTTGAAGGATCCTGGACTTTCACATGCACAGAAGATAATGTATACTGAATTGAAATATCTGGACTTGGGAGCCATCCTGGCCTAGGATTCCTTGGCCCTTTCTGGCCCTCTTGCACCTCACTTCCTTGGGAAGGATGTTTGGCTGTCACGAGTGCAACTACGATGTGGGCCTATGCTGCGCTCCGAAGTTCGAGGCGGAAATTCGGGTCGTTGGGGGCATGTGAGGCCGAAGGACTCTCGGCGTTCAATGCAGGCCGACATGATCGAGCATGTTTGGTAGAGGGCTTCACAGACAAATCTTTGACTTACTCTTCTGATTTCTGCAATCCAAGGCTTTCTCCAGTCAAAACCCCCGAACCGCTTGTCCATGCGGGCATCTTCCCACGAGTTTGAACGCAACCCGAGTGACCAGGATGAAGTTTGGGTGAGCAACTGGAGAAGCTTGGAGCAACCGTAATGGCCTGGGAAATTTATTGTTTATGCATGTGTATAACTTCTAGTTTACTCATGTGCGACTGTGTGGGCGTATGTCTGCATGTAGGTGTGTTTGCCTATATCTTGCTGGTCTCTCCATCTCTCTTTCCGTGCTAGTCTGAATGTCGCATTATGACTGCATCTTTTTCACGGCTGCGCAAAAGATGTCAAGAACAGCATCACAAGCATGGTGGAAGCGCCGTAGTCATAGTCATTCTGAGGTCTGCGGAATACTTCGGGATGCCAGGGGATTCTGGGTCAAATGCATCCCATACAGGCCCTTGCCAGGATAGGTCTTGCGATACAAGCGATTGCTGGGTGGACCTGGCCTGGTAAGTCTACCCGTGACAGCCATGGCTATGATTGTAGTTGCGAACACTGATGATGATGATGACGGGAGATTGGCCAGGACGAGAATGATGATGGCAATGATGCTCGTATGGTTGCTGACTGTGATAAATGTGACTGTGCTGATGACGATGGTGATGTTGTTGTTGATGATGATGGCAGCTCAGGGCTTGAAGAGGGTCGGGGTGGTCATTGCAGATGACGATCATGAACATCATAAAGGAGAGCATCGTCCTCATGACATTCCACAACACACATGACATTCGTCAGTTGTCTGTATGGCTGTATGATTTGTGCTTCCGTGTTCGCAGTTTGGTTGTTGTTGCTGTTGCTGTTGCTGTTGCTGTTGCTGTTGCTGCTCTCTCGTCTCATCCTCATCATTGCGGTCATCCGTGCTCGCAGCATGTTTACGATGCCATCTACGAAAATGTTGCTGGGGGGCAGGAAGCGACCAGACGCACGGGGCCAATCTTGTGTTCGTGGTTGCGACAAACAATAAGGCATGGAGAAATTTTTGGTCTGACCAGAAGGATCCATAGGCATAGCACCCCGGCTGGAATTTTCACAGCTGGTCCCGACCCGACATCGATCGCAACAGCTGATTGAGGAGCGTTTTGGGGGCGACCTGCGCAGCCAGTGAAGGGGGAGGCTCGTTGAGGGCTTAGGGTTTAAAGTTTTAGGGTCTATGGCTTATAAGCCAGGCCAGGCAAGCTAAGGGTTCAGGGCATAGGGGCATAGGGCTTACAGGGTGGAAGGCTCTAGGTTTGGGTACAGACTTGGTCAATCAGCCTTCCTTCGCTGCACTTGTGCCTTTCCAGTTCAGTTTAAAGGCCCTGTTCCACGGTTTACAGACTGGACAAGCTCCTTAGTGAAATGATGGCTTGAGAAGGATCGCGCCAGGTGTCCCAAAATGTCCAAAAGGCTTTGGACCGCTGACACAGACACAGACACGGACACACGAAGAGAGAGCGCAGTTTTAGGTACCTGCCCAAGCTTGGGTCTTGCAGAGCTTGGATACCAACATTCTTGATGGCAGTTGGGGAACTGGCAGGAATTGCGAGCGGACTACGAGTAGGATTATGCAGCAGAAAAGTTCGGGCTTCAAGCGTAGGAGCAAAAGCAACGGCGCGGTCGCTGCTGCTCTCAAGTGGTCGTCACCAAAACAACGAAGTTAAAAAGGTGTTCAATCCCTAGCTTCTGCTGCATGGACTGCCATGTCCCGTCCACTAAGGCGGCAGAAGATGCTGTTCGTGCAGGTTCTTCGGCCAGGGCGGGCAGTATAGACTTACAAAACGAGTGAAAAGGCCTTTGTGAGGTTTTGATTTTGATGTTTGTAGGGTTCACGCAGCGGTATTACTCCTGCAGTGTCAGAGCCCCACCACCCCCTGCTGTACGCCATCGTAAGCCTAGATGTCCCATCTCCGAAATCGACGTCAGTTTAATCGATTGAGGACTTGCGCAACAAGCATAGAATCAATGCAGCCCGATCTTGTGGGCGTGGCCCTGCTTTTGCCGTTCTCCGTCGCAAAACGAAGTGCTTCATGGGACTGATCAAGAGTCAAGAGCAACTGAGCATCACCACCCGCCATCCCACTCCAGCCAGTCATATGCCAGGTCCCAGCAGACCCGAGCCACAAGCGACGGACCCGCCATCTGCCGCCGGCGACGCTGCTGGCACTGCGCAGGCATCTCCCATAGTAACCACGTTTGGACGAGTGTTTGGGGTCTATTTGGGATTGCTGCTCACGGTCCATCCCTGATCGGCCAAGACTGGCCCTGGGCCTACTCTGTTGACCCTTCATGCCATACGCAGGGCATTTCAAGTTCAGGGTTTCATCATCAAGCTTTGCGACTTCTCGACTCAACACATACGTTTCACGACGAAAATCCGACACATATCATCTGACCGCCAGCTGCATCCGGTTGGGGTCTCCATCTGTTCGAGCATCCCACTTTCTTGTTCTGTTGTCGTTCCGCTACGTTGCGCTGCTAGCGTCGTAGTGCACCTTTCTCCTAGGTCGCCTTCTGATTACTACAGTATGTTGCCTTAGCCCTACGCCAGTGTTCCCGGCAGACTGCTCGTCTCTTAATTATAATTTGTGTGCTGTTTGGGTTGGTTTAGTGCGGCCCTTTTTCTGCAGTATTAGTTAGCAGATACCATTTCCATTTTCTAACCATGCCCCACCCCCTAGCACCAAAACCATAACAACCTATGCCTCAACCCTAACCTCACCAAAATACCCATAGGAATATCCCTAACATGGAACCTATATGAAGGCCCACATAGAAAAATAACATACCAACTCCATGGTATGACCCACCGCATAGAAAAGCCATAATACCCAACCCGAAATCCCCAACTCTAGAAAATGGAAATGGTATTCTTAAGTATTTATAATGTTTTACCATTTCCATTTTCTAACCATGCCCACCCACCTAGGCCACCCCAAGACCCAAAACCATAACAACCTATACCTCAGCCCTAAACTCACCGAAAGACCCGTAGGAAAGACCCACCTGAACACCCAAAACCATAACAACCTATACCTCAACCCTAAACTCACCAAAATACCCATAGCAAGACCCATACCATGGAACCACCAGAAGACCCGCACCAAGACGCCACGCTAGAGGCGCGCGTGCTACGCGACCCACATAGAAAAACCCCAACCTCAACTCCATACACCCGCACCCCCATAGAAAAACCCATATACCCCAACCCGAAATCCCTAACCCTTGAAAATGGAAATGGTCATCGTTGTCAACTTTACGATAGTCGGAACGAGGTTCAGAAGAAAACCAATTCTTGCTGCCACCGAGAAATTAGCAGCCATCGCAAGTAGTCTCCCACAGTGCTGTGGCCTACAGATCCTCAGCTACTACCTCCCACACTTCCTTCGCCACAAACACTCCCACCCTTTCCATCCACCATGGCGTGGACTTCTGCGGCAACATCCACGATCCGAGGAGCGCCTGACCCGCTGCATTTGCTTTGTCGAGTGGTTTTGTTGCATAGCATCGGGCCCATGTGGTATCAGACGGGATGAGTAGATCAACCTGACTACCTACAATAAGAACTTTGGCCAGTTTCTTGACCTCAGTCGCAGCACGAGAAGATTTGTTGGAGTGGACGTTGCGACGGGCTCAAATGTTATTGTGATTTTGATGCTGCGAAGCGAATGACTTAAATCATGGTTCAAGCATGTTCTAGGTTTTCTACACCAGTTATGTGTTGCATGCATGCCACATCATTGTGTTTTCCACAGAGCAACAGCCTTGAAATCCTAGCGTAATGGTTGATTGCGCGTGCTGTCGGGAATAGCATCAGAAAGCTTTGCAAGCAGTCGACTTACGGGACATTGTGCTGAGCTCGACATCGCGCACCTGCTGCAAAAGTTGGGGTTTGTCCTGGAGGCAAACGTCTGCCTGCACCAATCCGGCAGACCTGCCTCTACAAGTGAGTATTCGGATTGGTGCCTTCGGCGAACAGCACGGCAGGTTGAAAGTGGCCAAGCTGATCTCACAGATTTCCAGAATGCGTGGCATAAGCTTTATGGGAAGTGGCCACGGCCAGCGAACCTCGAGCTCCGCAAGGCCGCAAAGCGCTGGCTGCCAGTGCAGGAAGTTGATTTCATCCTGCGGGGTTTCCAGCAGCCCAATTCTGAACACCCTGCCCACGCCTATGCGCAAGCACAATCTGGGTTTATCACAACGCAGGGCCATCCGGTTTGCGTCGGTGATCTCCTGGTCATGCTCGAAGGTCGTTTCCTCGTTGAAGTCACTCAGAAGTCTTGGTATTCGGGGCCCAAGCATTTCAAGACACGAAAAGTCACAGAGTTGCACAACTTGGCTGCGAAGCGAGGGCATGGCGAACAGGTTCTGCTCCTATTCAATGGTGGAGAGCCTGGAGCGCCTCCACTTGAGACTGGTTTCAACATGCCGAGTTTCAAGGTTTTGTATTTCAGCGAGCGCACAATTGGGAAAGTTCCGGAGAGTCTAGAAGCAGCACGCAGGGAGGCCGAGGTTGCTCGAGAAGTAGCCCGCAGGGAGGCCGAGGTTGCTCGAGTGCAGGCCGAAGTTGCTCGAGAAGTAGCCCGCAGGGAGGCCGAGGTTGCTCGAGTGCAGGCCGAAGTTGCTCGAGAAGTAGCCCGCAGCGAGGCGCTCCAACGTGAACTTAATGAGCTCAAAGCTACCAGAACGCCGTTGCCATTCGCAAGTGTTTGGGCAGTGCTTGTGGTAGTTGCAGGGGTGGCCCTCGCAAGTCTATACGTGGGTGCCGCAAACCAGCTGCAATCGTAGCGGCTTGACGTTTCACGTGAGCTCTCCGGCAAAATATGGGTTTCGCATGCTGCGATCAGGGGCGAGCCAAGTGCTTTTTGCGACAATCTCTGTTGAGCATTGTCGCTTGCTGAAGAGAGCGATTCCCTAGCTACGCCTCGCAGGACCCCTCGACCGCCGTTCTGCGTCCACCTCCAACTCCGGGACGGCACTCAGAGAGAACAATCCCTTCGGCCCTAACTTTATTCTTTGTCACCAGCCTCCCGTCCAGGCCAAGACGAAAGCTGTGAGACAATGCGGGGCGTGGTCTAGTTTATTGGGGTTTCGGGAAGTAAGGGCTCGAGCTTTAAGCCCTTGAGGCTTCGTTGCCGACTTCATGCTTCAGGGTTAAAGCTTAACTTTAGAGTCTAGGGTTTTTAGATTTAGGGCTTCAGGGTTAAGGGTTTTGGGCTTTGGTTTAGAGGGTTCCAGGGTGGCAAAAACATAATATGCAACCCCCCAAATTTTAGACCGAGCCCGATTTCAGGATGTGCGGAGGGGGGACGCGTTTTAGTATTAGGGGAATTCGTTCAACAAGTTACGGGGTGTAAAACTTTTAGCAACATTTCTCACTTTTATCCACGAATAACCACATTTACAAGAACTCTACACCATGAAGGTTTGCAACGATTAACGGGTGATTAGCTTTTTAACAACTCAAAACGAAGATACTGCCTGTTATTGCCCTCAACTCTGTAATAATTTTGCCCTAACTTGTTTTCAGTATATTGTCTATTGTATAAATATTTTGGCTGTAATTTCCGACTCTTTCTTTTTCATTTGGTTTTCGCTTCCTAAATATCTTAACTTCGTCCCCTACATTCAGTTCGGGATAAATGCGGTTCTTCTTGCCCTTCATCGTTAAGTTTAATTTCACTTTGAATTGATTACTGGGTTTTCGGGCTTCTTTTGGCGTAAATCCCGTGGCCGAGTGCTTCATTTGATTATTATAGGTTAATAATATTTCTAATATGTAGTCTGGCCATTGGATGTTTTGCTTTCCTTTTTTCTCATCTGCTTCAACTCGCTTATATAACATATCTTTAAATGTTCTGATGGCTCTTTCACTAAAATTTGGGTGCGCCCTCGTTCTATGATGTTCTATGTTCTCATCCTTCAAATACTTTTGTATTGCCTCCTTGTTCAATGCTCCCTCATCGTCTGTATAAATTATTTCGGGTTTCTTACCCATCTTGTTTAAACATTCAATCATTCCACTCGCTACATCTCCCTCTTGTTTGCTTTTTATCGGCACTACATACATGAATTTATCAAAAACATCAATCATCAAAACACCTACCCTAAACTTTTGTTCTTCCAAATCGTTTATAAAGAACAAATCCATCTGATATTCATAAGCGGAATGAGGGGCGATAAAGCTGTTTTGACCTACCGGCTTTCTTTTTTGTTCAACATTCTTTCTAAAAAACTCGTTAATATCTCCCATTGTTATGGTTTTGTCCTTCTCCCGTGCTTCGCTTAATGTCCTTTGTTTTGAACCATAACCGGCTCTATCAAAATATACATCATTAATAATTTTCTGTTTCTCACTCATATAAATAAGTAACAAAAAATAATGATTTAATATAAATAATTAAGTCATCATTTTACAAAATTAGGCATAATCACTTTGTATTCGTTCATATCGTATTTGGGAGCTCCACGGTTCTTCCCGCTAGGCTTCTTATCCGTAATGATTTCATTAATTTGCGTGGGAGTCAAATCTTCTTCACTTAAACTATTCTCTGCTATGTATTCTTTAAGCTTCTTCTTCTGGTTGTGTCTTAAACTTGCTTCGCGCTTCTTCAGCATAAATTGCTCGTCTTCTTTCCTCTTATTATAGTAAAGCCTCTGATACAAAGCCAGTTGTTGCTTAATCTCGTCCATTGTCATATCCTCGGGACTCTTGAAATGTGTCATATTACTATACTATATATTTATACTATTTCTTTAAATAAGTTTCTAAATAAATTACGAAAATCTTTAGAACAAGTATTTAAAAAGAAAATTTAATTTATATTGTAATTATATTGTATATGAGCAAAAATATTAAGCGTAACACGAGAGCACTACAAACAACCTACGACAACTACAAGAATCGTTTAACACAAGACACCAGAGAAAAAATACAAAATCTAATTAACTTTTATGAAGACCGTAAAATAGCCCAATTCACCACCGCGGACAATTTAATCAGACAGTTTATAACAGCAAAAACCGACAAACAAAAAACGAAAGCAAACACAGCATACGACAAAATCCACGACAAACACCACGACAAAGAACCACTCGGGCAACGAATGCGGGAAGCAAAGAAGGAAAACAAAAGACGAAATAGCACCAGCATCTACTCTATAGATGTAATGTTTTATAAGCTAAAGTTAGAAAAAGACAACGCTATTAAAACCGCCTTCAAAGACCACAAAGGCCGACCTTTAATTTATTTTTGGAAAGAACCTAAAAGCGCAAATGTAACATCCACCAGATACATAGAGGACTTGGTGGGGAAACGAATTTTTAGATATGATAAGGAAACTAAAAACACATTTACAAAGTTAATGGATACACTCAACACAGACCCAGTTTTAGAAGATGACCTATATCATACAGCGGAATATATGGAATGTATTCAAATTAAGAGCCTTGAACGGGTGGATGGTGATACAGACTTCAAGCCAGAACAGGAGAAATTAACAAATACTGCTAATTTAAGTATGTATAACATCTACATTCAAACGCCTTTAGACCCCGAGTTTGAAACCTTTAAGGAAGCGATAAATGTAAAACATTACAAAGAAAACGAATGTTGGTTTAACACCATAACCGATTGGTATAAGGATACGCTAATGGGTGAAAAAAGAAGGGAGAAGAACAGATTAACAAAAGAAAATATGCTGAAACTGATAAATAAAACCGAAGAGGACTTCAAAACGAACGGGGCATCAATACAAGACATGGTGCCGGTGTTTGAACACTACGGCATTCAAGTAAGGATATTTAACTCCTTCATAAAGGCGATTTTCAAATACTCACCAACTAAATACAACCACCATATACCAACATTATATGCCCTAGTTAAAACAATCATATCTACACAGCAAACGACAACCTACAGATGTTTAAGGCAGATGGTGGCGCTCCGCGAAAATCAAGATGTATCGGTTAAGGCATCGCCAGATTATCATATTAACGAGAAAGAAGAGCCCACCGAATGTACAATGATACAGTCCTTAAATGACCTTAAAAAATTCAGAGAAAAAGATGAGTATACGCTAATATATGATGGTAATGATTTAACCCATTTGTTTTACGAAAGCAAGATGGCAGGATACGAGCCACAAGTGAGATTTACTGGTTGTATCGTATCCGATTTGTATTTCAAATTCTACATTAAAAAGAAGAGCATAAGACACAGGATTAAAACACAAAATCTAGTGACGAGCTCAGTGGATGGAACTATAACAGTAAGGACGGAACAGATTTATAACAATATGTCTAAAGCAACGTATGAATTCAACAAGGCATTATTTAATCCCTTACATAAATCCTATTACAACGAAACCGATATACAAATTCTTAAGGAGTGCCGAACAATCCCGCCGGTGGGAGAAGTAAATAAATTCTACAAGGTGTTTAACCAAAGAACCGAGAAATACGACAAATACGGGTTTATGCCCGAAACCACCACCGAAATAGATGTAAGAAAAGCTTACACCCACGCCTTCAACCAAATTACCGAAATCCCCGTCTTTAATCAGTTTGATATATTGGAAGCATTTCAATTACAAAGCCCACGATTACAGCAAGTTTCACGAACTGACTTTGTTTTTGGTGAAACCTAAACAACAAGCGTTATTTTTTAATAAGACACACTGTTTAGTGTATGGTAAGTTTCTAAAGCACTACGCCGACAAATGCGAAATCCTACATTATAAGGAGCCTTCTAGAGTGTATAAGGTGAATTACGCGAAACTTATTAAACAGTTATGGGCAACCGAAATATCAGACCACTTCCCAGAAGACGCTCAAGAAGCTTATAGCAAATGTAAATTTCGGATTGTTGGAGAAGGGAACGAACAAATCTTCTAAAAGCTTTGCCTTTGACAGCCTTCGGGAAGCGTTGTATTATCAACAAGAAGTGGGAGGAAAAAATAATAAAATCACCGGATACGACGAAGACGACAAGGAATTGCACAGAAAATATTACTGCTTAACTGTGACCGATAGAGTGGCACTAAGAAACGGATACACTTACATAAAAGAGCTACTGCTTCAAATCCATAACCATAAGATACAAGAGGATTATAAAAGTTTAATAAATAATGGTGTTGATGTATGGAGTGTTAAAACAGATGCCTTTGTAATTAGGCACGAGCACTTAAGCAAAGCAAAGAGAGCAATAGCATTTAACAGTAACATCGGAGGATGGAGACACGAAAAAGGTAAATCAATAATCCCACCAACAGAACAAGACAAAATGAAAGAAAACATATTAACAACTATACCAGAATATAAGAACGAAACATTAGAAATTAAAGACGAGTGGGACACCGAAAGCATAGCAAAACAAATAACTCAAAAGAGCCCACTTATTATAAGAAGTAAATACGCGGGTGGCGGCAAATCGCATATATCGAAGCATTTTACCAAGCTAGGTTATAAAACATTGTTTGTAGTCCCCCAGAACAGCTTATCACAACATATAGATGATGAAGCAATCACTACAAATAAATTCTTTGCTATTCCTGTTGGCGACGGTGAGAAACTACCAGAGTTTGACCATACCAAGTTTAACTGTATAGTGTTTGATGAGATTTATATGAACAGTCTGTATATATTAAATAGGATTAGAGAGTTCGTTAAACAGCATCCCGATAAAATTATTGTAGGAGCGGGAGATGTTAAACAACTGCCACCGGTTGAAGACCTAACCAATACCAGAAAGCCCGATGAATACGCCGACGACTGTATTAACCAAATAT